CGCGCATGTAAAAGTATATTACAAGGGGGTATGGCGCAATTTTTAAAATACAGGGGGAAAACGCGCAGATTTCGTATAATACAGGGGGGTTTGGCGCAATTTACCCCTTTACCATCATTTGACTACAAAAAAAAATTGTTATATTTCAACCTAAAATCCTATGATAATATATTCTAATGGAAATTCCACCATCGAATATTCCAATTGTATAGTTTCCGTTGGAATAGTTCCAACGGAAATATTCCGTTGGAATGTGTTTTTCATTGGAATTTTAGATGGAATTTGGTGATTCCAACGGCCATATTTCCAACGGCTTTTTACCGTAGGAATTTCCGTTGGAATATATGCAATTTCCGTTGGAATTTTTATTTCCACCCCCGTTGGAAAATCTACCGTTGGAATCGTCAAAATCCAACGGAAATTCCAATGGAAAACTCATTCCAACGGAATATTTCTGTTGGAATTTCCGTTGGAATCCATTGAAAAATTTCAACGAAAATAATAGTATTGAAATATCCGTTGGAATTGCCGTTGGAATCATTCTATTATAATAAATTTCCGTTTCATCATTTTTTTATAGTGTCTCCATCAACTGAGCGGTAAATATTTTGATTAAATTGCTTGCTGGTAATTTTAGTTTTTAGGGATGTTACGGAACCATTCTGTCGTGATCTGTAACCATTAGATCATTATGTAACGGTTGTGGATAGTTGATCTAACGGTTACAAACCCCAACGGAATGACCGTTCTGTAATGGAACCGTAGAAACTCCCTTAATTAGTTTTTATTTAGTTAATAATTTTTTTTTGTGGTTCGAGTGAAATTTAAATATGAATTTCTCAACACGATAGTATTATTAGTTACTTACCTAACAAATAAATAAACTCTTAAAAAAAAGAAAAATTGCAGTGCTAGAAAATGTTTGTTATATTACTGTACTGCAAAATAGCCCATTCGGGCAATAAAGTGAGATTTACATGTACCGTTAGATCAACTATGTTACATGATGATTCAACATTTACATACCCCGACGAAATGATTCCGTAACGGGACCTTAGTATTTTCAGAAAATAAATATTGTGAAGGTGAAACGTCAAATTATACAAAATCAATTAAAATACATGAGAGAGAGCAAAATTACATTACATGCCTAGTGAAAAGAAAAAAAAAAAAAAAAA